GTGTGTGTGTGTATGTGTGGGTATACATGTGTTTTTGTATGTTTCTATGTAATTATGCGTATGCTCCAATTATATTTCTTTGACAAACGTCCTTTGTACTCTTAACTAGAAATCACGACCAAATCAAGGTGCCGCTTCCATATCTTACATGGTAGCACTAGAACAACCGTATTTCCTGTGTTTACCGGACACCACAAGGTTGGTGTGGTCTCTGCAATCAGCAGCCGTTCATCTCGATTCGTGTTTTTATATACGATTTTCGTATAATGGACGTAGTATTGATTTTCTTAGAATCTTGGTCCTATTCATTCTACCGATTGGCTCATAAAGTTGTCGATCTCATTTTCAAAAGTTCGCTGGTGTTTACACACTTTTTCTACAAAATCCGGTGAATTTACTATTGATTCCACTTCGGTGGGGTGCCGAGAGTTTAGGCGGGATAATGCCGCACTTCGAGGACCGCTTCTCTACGGGGATTGTATGGAATCATCTTAGAATTGTACCTTCATCGCACGATCACGATAGTAGCTCTTCGCTGCTATCTTAACAGAAGTTAGCCGTGTTTTCGTTCTAGCAGAGACTTCGAAGTTAGAGATTAAGGGTGGGGCAAACGGAGGGCTCAGGATTGAATGATTCCGTTGTCAATTCTAAATCTTAGCAGAAGGTTTTACTAGTGTTATCTTCATTCATCAGGGCTTATGTGAAAGCACTACATTCGTATGGTGCGTGAGTGCATTCCTTCAGACTGGATCATTTTTGAGCTGTGTTTAAGAACTTTTTTGTGCTTAGCACTGTAGATCTTCCCACCAGAATATTTTATAGCTGGCATTCACCACAATTGTTAGGTGTAATTACATCAGATCGACAATGTTATCTGAACACACGCAGAAGATCGACATTGGTCGGACAATCCCTATTCTGCATATCACGTTCTAAAATAGTTTTATTCGAAACAACGCCGTTATATACGGCTAGTCTTTTGTTGTTGAGTGATAATTTCCTTCCTCGTTAGTGGCTGAAACGAATCATCAAACGGAGAAGATAGTAACCAGGTCCAGTATTCAGCAAGTACACATCTTATAATTGTGGGGATGCAATCGATAACCTTTTCCAATTCTCCAATGATTTATTCACCTTCACTGTCGTTCCTTAATATGATGTGAGAGTTTCTGACAGCAAATCTGCAGAAATCACTTTCGTTGTAGACTGATGCTCCAAGTGCTCGTAGAATTCGCTTACTGAGACTTCGTAATGTAACTTTTCTCTCATGTAATACGCTATTTAAATAGCAGAACAAAATTCTCGTCAATTGTGTGTAGGTTTTGGCGCACTATGTCTGCTGTAGGACGAATTAGACTCAACTTACATTATACAGGATATGATGCAGTCTATACGGCTTGTCGTGGACCTATTGTTGTGATCCGGTCCGCTGTCGCCATATGCAACATAAGATTTGGTCGGCTCTTACCTCATGGCTTACCGTCCGAGCACGTTGAAAGAAGCGCCTGTTGCGGGTAGCACTGAAGTATATTTATTGCTAGTTGAAGTATTCACTTATTTTCTCCGAAATCCGAAGCAAGTCTACTAGGAGGTACTACATTTGGCATAATCCGTAAACTGGTGCTTCTAAGTTGATACCACAGCATCAATGATTTATGGCATTTGTACAGATCTTTTAAATGTAAATGTTGAAATTTTTTGGCTTAAGCGACCATTATAGCCAGTGAATACTCCGTGCTCAGCAGTCGGGAACATTCCAGCCTCTCAGAAAAAAAAATGATTACAAGTAAAGATTGCATAAAACGACAAGTTAATGGGGACGTTTGTTCTGTTACTATTTGATGTATAGCACTAGCGTATTTATAAAAGTCTGAACTATACTTTAGGTGCTGGCAACACACTTTCAGTCGTGGTACGTAACCTTTTACTATGAACCATCGTCGTACGGAATGTTGGCTGAGGACATCTCACTTTACTTATATGGTGGACAGTCGACGATGTTCCTCATCAACAACATGATTGCTATCATTCCTGCTATAATATTCTACACGTTGGTTTAGACCCATTCGACTTTCTTTCGTTCAATATTTGAAGAAAATTTCTCTTCTGCAGAATGAAATTTACACGTCGAATTAGCACTGTTGGTAAAGTTTTTAACAAAAACTCTGGCTCATTTTCGGCCAAGGGTTAAAAGTGGCACCTATGAGATTAAAAGTAGTGCTTCGAAGTAGCCCTTGATACATTGATTTTTGAATAGGACAATTTTCTACTGTGAATAGCGGAAAAGACTTATCTAAAACAGTAAACGCGTTCAATTTTAAATCTCCATTTCCAAGTCCAATTCTGCATAATTAAGAAAGCCTTCTCTTCTGATTTCCGTAGTCAACTATAAATTTCATGAAGTGGTCTAACGCCTAATGGTTGCCGTTCCGAATGCTTGTTAAATAGCTCAGTGTTCCTTTTCGAAGCATTCTGGGAACGCTGAATTCATCAGGGTACGGATGAGGAAGAGAGCAAAACGCGAGCAGCTTCGTAAAATTTTATGAACTAACGGAAACAAAAGACCTCATTCTCCTAACCCCGAGAGAGCCCCTGATACAGCAGTGTTCCATACGAGAAGAGTGTCAAAATCTCAGGTTAAACCTTTTGGTCTGGAAGAACAATGGTAACGATCAATACTTGGAGCTCACGCAAACTAGCAACTGAATTGTCCATTGATGTGGCTGAGAGGTACCGGTCTTCATGAATACTGGTGTTCATGCGAAAAAGCGGAGCCACACAGAAAACCACCGTCATAACTGCGAACTTAAGAAGCTCTGCAAATAAGTAATAGAAGTAGACCACAAGAGAAGAACAGCATTGCTCGCTGCGAAGAATGTAGACATCACCGTCGATACGCTGCCAGTTGTAAGGCAAAGACGATCGCCTTCTAGTACCCAATCAAAATATTCACTACATCCAGGCCAGCAAAATTGTAAACGATTTGTACTCCAATCTCTCCAATCGTGACGCTTAACTAGCTCCATATCATGCTAGGCAGGATGGATATATACTCTAAACCGCTGTGCATTGCGAGGACTTACACGGTGTTTCATCTGTCAAAACTATACGGCATCCATTCCGGAAATTATTACAGCCGAATACCCGTGCAACCTACTACCATTTCTCCAATACGTGCTGGCTCAGCTTTACAGTCACTGCCCGTTGGAATACAATGTTCCAAATTTGTGAACAATCAGATGTATCGTGCTGTGAACAGGAGAGACCTAAACGAGGGAACTATGACGGAATCTGCTTGCTGTGTGCCATACACAATCTCTTCATTTAAATCATCTTCAACACCACTAGCAGCTCGGTAATGAAGTGCAGCTCTGAGATCAACGAGATGCTTGAAAACCACTTAGTACTATAAACCGTATGAACGTGAAGAACTGAGACATTGCTAAAGTACAAGACTTCCTTTCCCTTTACTTCTCACGGCTTAATGAAACGGCTTCGATGGAACTGAGGCAAATCTCTCATGGAAGTTCTGCACAATAAGATCAGTATGGTGAAGTTCGTCATGGGCTGTTGAACAAGTTCACGACCAGAATTTTGTAGTGCTACAACGATGTTATCACTAACGTAAAGAGAACTGTTCTACAAGATGATACCAATCCGCAAATATTTCGACCCATTTTCGAAGACGTAATGTGAAAAGCAGTTGAAAAGGTTAAAAGTTGAAAATGTAAAATAAATAACGATCTTATGAGCATTTAGCTGTTCTCAGCAGAAACTGGTTATAGGATTAGCAGACAGGTGCTCCATCCGCGTTGACCATCTGTATTTGTAACTTGAAAGAACATCTGGAAGATGAGAGGGAAAGCTCAACATGTATGGGAGAGATTGACTCTAATGATAGAAACAACTGCAAATGAAACGTTGGGAAGCCTATTCATTATCTGATAGAGATGTAAAAGTTTTGTCTAGATCTCATATATATTGAGTATAGTTTCTCTAAGTTCTAAGTAGTAAGTACTAAGTATATCCTGTTTGCTTTCAACTCATTGTATAGATGTGAGATGCATCCAATCCCTTTAAAGCAGAAATTTTCTCGCCTCAGCATTCCTCTTTCCATTTTCCGCACGTCGAAGTCCTGGAAATGTTTCCAGTATTTGTTATCCTCTTTTTATAATGAAACAATTAAATAAAACAAGTTAAAGTGTTTTGATAGCATAAATTACTGCTATCAAAGAAAATTTCAGGTGGTCAGTTATTCTTCTCCTCAAGCTAAGATCTGTGGTTTCAAGTGAAGGCATGTACACGACACATACCAACGTCGAGAGAAGGTGAGCTTTTCTCTTATACTTCGAGAAGCTCAGCAGCAATAATTTTCGCACATCCCTTCGTAAGTAGGAAGCCTGGGTCGAAATGTCCTGCGTAATGTTCACATCAGACGACACCATCAAAGTCTACATAAGCCGAGTGCACCGTAAACGAAGTCACGGAGTCCATGGCGTCTCCAAAAAATCAACTTTTACAGAGGTCTTTTTGAAAAAAAAAAGTGTTGGAAAGTTCTGAGAATCGAACCTTCCTGTTAATCGCATGGAGTATTATAGCGCAAAATCCTCCATGAAGTAATTAAAATGCGCAGTGCTTTACGGTCAAATTCGTCCTTCGTTTATAAATTCATAGAGGAAATCCCAGGACTAACTTTCTATTGATCTCAGCACTGATCAATAAATGACAGACGCGAGGTTGCTATTGCACTTAATGTTATTCACATTAGCAGGCGTTTCGGCAATTTCGTCTTTTTCAGAACCTGGAAACGTCGAATTAACACGCAATCTACTTAGTCAAACACTTTCATAACCTACGCAGAAATGAAGCACTAGCAATGCTAAAATATCTTCAACAATGATGTTAGTATCACAATCATGATCGTTTTATTTACTGCCTACTCTTTTTTAATGGCAAGCTATATTGCGAAATGTAACCTCAGTGAAGCTGAGATATTTGAAAAACTCCAGACCGTAGGTGTCTGCGGTGGGGAAAGAACGCGCTATTGTCCTTTCCGGGGAGTAATAAACGATTAAGATTGTGATTATACCTAAGGCCTCAGCGTAACGGGGTTCGTTGCCGATTTGGGCTCGCCAGATCAATCCCGCTGACTGGTGTTTGCTGTCGGCAAAAGATCGATAGAAGTAGCTGAGAGGCAGGCGAAACGAAGAACCCGCATGGTGTGGTGGTGAACGCGTTACTCCCCGGAAACGACAATAGCGCGTTCGTTACCCATCGCAGTCACCTGCGGTCCGGAGTTTTGCCAATATCTCAGCTTCATTGAATAGTGTTAGTGATATGATGGAGAAGTAATGGTATGTGACGTTGTTGGAAACGAAGCATGATCGGGAGGAAGGGTAGGATAGCGTACTGTTATTGATAATGGCCGATCTACGGATGGACGAAATACTACATCCAGATGGGAAGGTGCAAAACGTGATACGAAATACGTGCTTACCCATAAAGGGTAACTTGTGGCAGCAACAGATTTGTATTAGAAAGGATCAAAATAATGATAATAGTGTGATCAATGGGAACACAATTGGAAGCAACCAAGATTCAATCAAGGCTCAATGAATAGAGTAGGTGAATCACTGATTAATAAATTGTTTGTCGTGGACTTAGTAGCTAAGAGATGCTATTGGCCATTGCCTAGAGGTTCGTTGCTGGTCATTTTTGTCTATAACCACAATGATGCTGAGATATTTGTAAAATCCTGGACCGCAGGTGTCTGCTGTGGGGAACGAATGCGCTATTGTCGTTTCCGGGGTGCAGCACGCTCACCACCACACCACGCTGGTCCTTCGTTTCGCCTGTCTCCCAGCTAGTCCTATCGATCAGCACCATCAGCAATCACCCACCAACGGGATTGGTCAAGGGAGCCCAACTTGGCAACGAACCCAGTTGAGCTGAGTTTGTAGTCGAAATCACAAAAGACATTAACTGGGTACAATGCCGTTTTGTTGCTCCCCACATCTTTCCCGCTGACGGTTGGTTGTTGATGGCACCGTTAGGGCAGAAAGTTAGCTGAGAGAAACGCAGAAGAAGTCTCTCAGCGGTGCAATAGGTAATAGGTGAGTATCCGAAATAGTTAATCGCGTTTTCGAATCTGGCATGGGGTCCATGTTTTGCAAGTATCTCAGCATCGTTGTTGTGTTTCGCACATTACCCTGCCGTGGATAAATAATAAAAAATGATATGGAAGGTCAAGCATTTCGTCTAAGTTGAGACGTCAATATGATATGATATGATATGAAATAGTGCAGAGTCCGTAAGAAGATAGCGGTCTGATTGGGAAGCTATGAAGTGCACGGAGGATGTGGTGAAGAGAACTAAGAACACAAGACTCCGTGCCCACCTTTTTAATTCTGTGATTAATAAAGTAGGTGTCGGAAACCTGGTTGCTACGTGAGCAGGATAAAAGATCACTCCTTTTTGCATAGACAACATGATGTCGAAAGATCGATGCTAGGAGGTATCTCGTATGGACGATTGAAGAGAATAGACCTGAAGCTCCGATCTGCGTTAACGATAAAGGTGCCATACTATTAGCGAAATTGTCGAGGATGGAATGATTTCCTAATGAAAACCCTAAAAGAAGAGTATAGTGTTAAACGTCTCCCTAACGCGAGTAGGACCCACTGAGCCACTCTTGCATGCGACACAGCGAAATGGATGATGTGTTGGGGCCCGATCGGGTCTCTCGGCGATCAGCAAGACGACTGGTGGTTACAGATTATCGGTAAGCAATGAGACGAAGCTAAATTAAACGATGACCAAGACTTTAAATTCCGGAATTAAATTACTCCGTCTTGCACTGCTTTGCATATCTTAGTGGAGAATTTAATATTATTCGAAAGTATGCTCTTACAGGCTTCTAATTCCATGCGTCATCAACATGGTAGTGTTTTCCGTCGGTCAAGTGGTGATTACTCTTGGAACGGGACATGGGAAATGGGCAGGATTTCTAGTGATGCTCATATTTTGCACTAAATCTGCTCTCAATCTTTATCTACTCCTTATTTTCTCAAAATCCCTCAGGTTTGTGGAGAATTACGTTCGTAACAAGCACATTGTTATCAATAACATATCAGGGTGTTCGGAAGATAATACAGAACTTTCAACTTTTATGTTTAAGTGACATATTCTCAGACCAAAACAAACTTTACTAAACGGAATAAAAACTGCTGAAACAAACACATTTTGTACTGGAATTCTAGAGGTGATGAAGTCATTGAAGTCAATATCGGCCTCGACTTTACTCCTGAAGTATTTATGACATAGAGAGTTGTCGAGATGCTTGAAGAAGTAGTAACTGGTAGATGTGATCTGCAGAGGTTGGTGGAAGAATAAGAGTTTCACGGCCCAGCTCGTTCAACCTTTACAGCGCCGATAGTGCGACGCATGCCTGTGTCCTATCGTGGAGAAGGACCATCGAATTCGTACGGCATGACTTTCTCGAGCTTCTTCGACTTTGCAATTTTCAGATGCACCCATACAACTGGTATGCTTATATCGCATTTTTAACGGAAGTCTTCGAACTTTTGTGTTTGTATTTATTTCTACCAGTCTTCAATTCATCGTCATCTACAGCGGAAGTACGTCCACAACCTTCCCCGTCGTCAACGTCCAATTCTCCACGACGAAATTTTTGAAGCCAACACCGCACTGTGCATTCGTTAGCACTTCCTTGGCTCCGTAACTCGTTAACGTTTCACGGTGTATGCGCTGCACTGCGACCGATTATGAACTCATAAAACAAATTTACCTAAAAGGCTGTCTTTGCATCTCAATTTTTAAGTTGCAAAACTTGTGAAAAAAAGTCATGTTATAATTCAATTACGCAGAGCCAATGTGGATAAAATAAGGTTTGTATTGACAGATAATGTTATTCCATTTCAAAGAAATGTTGCTTAAACATGCAAGGCAAAATAAGTTTCCTCATATTCCTGTAGGGGCCGTGTAGAGCAGTGGTTACAGGCGCACTACAATATACACGAGGTCGATTCCGCGCCCCAGACTCACTAAGCCTTCCATCCCTCCGGGGTCGGTAAATTGGTACCAGACTTATCTGGGAGGATAGCAGCACTGACTCGAAACATCGATAGACCACTACTACTCATTGTATGTGTCGGATATGCATTCAGTCACCTCTAACGATGCTTAATGAAGTCGAATGCATGGCGCATCATTGAAGAATTGATCAACGCCGAGAGCTTTATTCCTTATTCTTTTTGCTTTATATGCTCCCGTATAGATTTCAAACCAATCTAACATTCCCACAACCGATTTTCTATTAACTTCGGCATTGATTGAATAATTCTGTATAGCAAACACGATGTTCTAACATTAATCTACCGTTATATAATGGGCTGATTCCAGCATATCTTTCACTGCATTCGTTTCATTGTATTGAGTTCGTAGGGCGTGAAAGTGTACGGATTTTCAAGTGGATCCGCTTATAATTTAAGGACTTCTTCTTCTTCTTAAGCGTCGTTAAACGCTGATTCAACGATATTCTCCTGGGAATCCTGGCAAAGCACTGTTAAAGCTTTCTAGGCTTCCACCAGAACACTCGCAGCCCTTTGTGGATCAGAAGAATCCGTTCCCATATGTGCGTTGTGCTAATTTGCTGACACTGTAGGAGTGGGGAACGTTGTTGTATGGGTCCACCCAAGGACCACCTGAGAATTGCAGGGCACCTCTAACCACTACCCCACACGCGAATCATGTATACATTATATATACATATATTATATATGTGCATATAAACATGTATACATACATATATACGTATATATGTATATATATGTGAGTATAATTAGAGTGGAAAAGGATAAGACGCATTCAGGAAACAAAATAAAGTTGCTGTGAGAGATGACTTGCAAATTCTAGCAGTATTGAAATTCAAGGAATTTTCATTAAGATCATAAATTTCTAGTGGTTTCGTGCAAAGTTGTCTGCGGACCTTCTCTTCCGTGTGCGAACCTAGGCTCACACACTAATGGTTGAAGTGTCAAAGAATAACGTAACCGTTATGTAGTACATTTCAGAAAACAACTGCTGATTGAGATCGGAGTGAAACGCCGAACATGTACCCAGAAGTGTTCTTCGCCAATTTGCGAGCACGTTTTCAAGAAGACAGTAAAGAAGTGGTGTCAATGATATTTCTGAGGAACTTTCTACCACTAATGGGAAAGGGATCGTCAAGCATTGTACGCTCATTGTTGTCACACTTCGATTCAGTTCGAGTTGGGCGAGATTTGAGCTAACGACAATTTCATAGCTTAGAATCACGCGTTGTTTCCTACACACACACATACAGAAATTCCTAATCCATCCTACTTTAAATCTGCATTTAATGGGTAATAGTCCGAGGTGCCAGGTATTTGCTGGTCTCGGTGTGATATACATGTCTGCTCAGGCCTCGATCCTTTAGCTAACAAATTTTGTTTTATATAGGATAGTTGTGAAAGAGAAATGGAGAAATTACTATGCATTACAGATGTTGATGTCATAAAACTCGACACATATTGTTTTGTGAACAACAACGTGAACAACAACCAAACAAAAGTAACTCAGACTTGGAAAGATATTTAAGCACAACAGAGTTAAATATGGTGAAAGCTAAATAAATTAAAGTGGAACCCTTAACAGCCGCAAGATGAGAAAGGATAGTTTTAGTACAGAAAAAATACCCACCGTCTAAATGGTACCTGCAGGTGAAAGCTGTTGCCTTTGCATCGAACACTGTTTCATACTACGATTCACAGTAAGAGGAAAGCACATAGCTACATCCAAAAAAGTCGATAGACGCGCTACTTCAAGCGACAGGATTGAACGTTCACAGAGCCGACATTCCATTAATCTCGGCAGTGTCCAATAAGTCATTGCTTTTTTTTTCTTGAGCAGACAAGTGGTTCTTAACCACGTGATTTTTGGCTGTCATTTAGGCGTTACGTTAGGCTGACATGCAGTTTACTCAGTCAAACACTTTTATAAGCTAAGCGGAAAAGGATCAATACATAAATTCCATTCGCATAGGAAACAGCTTTTTAAACACTCACCCTCTTGTTTTTTTATAAGTACCTAAATTATTTAGTAGAGAGAGGCCCCACAGAGTCTAACATGGGTGAAGGATGTTGCTGGCTCAGGTCAAAAGTCAGCCGGAGGAATGGCAAGCGGTCACGCATTATAAAACAATCGTTCCTGTGGTTTATTTTTGGAGTTTTGCGAATTCTACAAGACGCTTGAAGTGTTTCATGCACCGATATTTTAGACTAGGATATCGACTTCTACTTCACACTTCTCTCCGTTATGGCTTTGTCAACAATGTATGCCTATGAAATGCTGAGATATTTGCAAAACCCCGGACCACAGATGTATGCAGTGGGGAACGAACACGCGCTGTTGTCCTTACCGGGGAGCAGTGCACTTCACCACTACACCATCCGGGTCCTTGTATGCCTAGTTGGTCTAACTTTAAGCTTACTGACTGGATGTTCATTTAAAATGGAGACGGAGTTGTCTACCAGTCCTAAGTATAAATCTTTATTTATGTGATCTTATAAACTGATCTTCTTAAGCTGACGCAAGGTTGGTACAGATCTTCGTTGTCGTTGTCGTCGTCGTTGTCGTTGTCGTTGTCGTTGTTTTTGATGTTATTGAACGATGGCTGACGTTTCGGCGACTTCGCCTTCCTCAGAGCCTGCACGTAGTTTATGTTAGGATACTTTTTATTATTCGGTGGAAAAGAAGGTTAAAGTATTAATGAAGATAAAACTTTTAAATAGACGTCATATTGAACAGAAAGGCTGCTCACCGTGATGTTAAGAGTGGGCTGGCCCATGCGTTGTTCACGTGGGGTCGCTAGCAAGACACACCCCAAGGTCAAAATATCATTTTGAAATAGGGCGCCAGGTCACGCGTGATAGTGAGGCATTCGTCTTTCCGGTTCATCTTTGGATTTTTGTGATTTATCCAAAACACCTCAAGAGTTTTGCGCGTTGATGTTTTTGATTCCTGCGCTAGGATCCGCACAGTCACTTCAGAATCATCACCATTGTTCCTTTGTGCCCTATGCGTACCTAGAGGGGTGTTTAGACGGATTTTAGCTTTTCCATCCAGATGTTCTTTTATGCGGACACAAAGTGGTCTACCCGTTTCCCCGATATATTCCTCGCCGCATCCATTACATGAGATCAAGTATATTATACCTAAACTCATGCAATCCCCTTCTCTCCCGTTAGGACAGATCATACAGTTTTCTGAGCTGCACAAACGATCATAGAGACGGTTTCGAACTAACTGGCGGCGTAGGGTATTGGGTGGGATGTCAATAATCGTTACATAATTTTCAAGGCCACTTTTTCTTAAGCACTTTTTAATGGCGTGACTTACTTCATTTGATATGAAGGGCAGCGTAAAGGGGATCCTACTTTCGCCTGAAATATTATTTTGGGAAACTACCCAACGTTTTCCTCTAACCCGAGTGGCTTCTACTTCGTAGCCATTGGAAATGGCAATTTTTCGTGCCAGGCTCCGCGATTCCTTCCTTTCCTCTTCTCCTGAACACACATTTTTAGCTGTACCGTATATATTTTTGATAAGTGCTTCTTTCACGTGTGCAGGATGAGAGGAGAGGCAGTGAACTAGAATGTTTTTACTACTTGGCTTGCGATACTACTTTGTTATATAGCCACTTTCTGAGAGCTTTATTTGGATGTTTAAGAATGGAAGCCAGTTCTCGGTAGGTTTTTCTCGTGTAAATTCTATATACTCTGGCTGTCGGTTTAATAATTCAAAGCACTTATCCATTTGTTCTTGTGTGGAACAGACGATGAAGCAGTCGTCTATGTATCGACAGTAGAGTAAGGGTCGGTGAATATCAAAAATAAATACAAAATATCAAAGATATCAAATATCAGAATATCAAAAATAAATAAATATAAAGTAAATAAAATAAATATATCAACTATCTATGCCGAGGTTTATAGAAAGTCGGTCTTTCCAGTTATAAATCTTTACTTAAATGCTCTGTAACCGCACTCGATCTCATGCAATCATCACTCCACAGGTGAGGCATATTATGCAATTTCGCCTTGTGCATAGACGTTTATACAAAGGCTACGAACTAGCCAT